TCTCATATTGGTCGAGCGTTTTAGTGCGGACAAGAAAAATACTGCAATTCCGGTAGTGTGGACGCAAAGCTTTATTTTTATGCGTTTTAATTATAGCATGGAAAAAAAACACGCATCACTGAAAACGCGCCGTTTCGAAAACGTATTAGTGTGGAGGGGACTGAGGACTTAAATTTTAACTCGGGACTAAAAAGAAATTTTTCGGCGCTGCGTCTATCAAGCAGTCATCGCGAAAGGGCTAAAGACGTCAATGTCACGATTTGACAAGAATGATCAGCGATGCCAGAGCGCATGCCACTAACAGGATACCGCTAATGCGGAAAGTTGGACCAGCATTACAGTCGTCTTTATCACAGCAGTGAACTTCACATTCCATCGTTTTAAAAGCAGCCTGGCAAGTAGTGTTGGCTTCTGTGACACATTTCTCTTTGACAAGACATCTTTTGGCAAACGTCTCGACTTCCCCGACTTTAGTATACACCTTACCACATCGCTCAAAAGCGGGCGCACATGTCTGGCTTGATGTGGCGCAGGCTTTCCACGAGATTGTGGTCGAACAAGTGAAGCAGGTCAAACCCAACACTGGATGAATAAGAAAATTACGAGATTATTTCGACAACGAACGTACACCTACATCTCACTGCAAGAAGTCGTTGAAACAGCCACCTCCTTTCTCCCACGCAATGTGGGATAGCGTAATGTGCCTAAACCCCCCCCTCCCCCCGGGAAGGTACTCCCCGTACAAAGTCTTGTACGGGGAGGATCCGCCCCGTGGTCCAACCCCTACGTTCGATTGCTGCCGCTCTCTCGGTTCCAGCCGGGGGTGAGCGCAGGCTCATTTCCCGAAACAGCGGCTGATAATCGAGCCCGGCGCCTTACCCGAGTTCTGTATACCACTTTGACAGAAAACGTCCCTCTTTCATACACCTTTTTTTGCACAAAAGGTTCCTTTTCCACGTACCAACCGTGAGAACACTGCGTCTCTTTTCTAAACCCTTGGAATGAAGTCAATGAACAATATTACCGGAGAACATCAAGCATTACCAGAAGAGATGCTAACCAAAAACAAGTATCATTTATTCAGTTCCCGTTCGCGTTATTTCTAAATGATAGATGTCCCTACCCTCTCATATACCTCAACCATGCAGGAACCTCTGTCTTAACTCATGAAACTCCTATCCTTTCATATACAAATGGTGCAAGGAACCGCAAACGAAAACGCTGCTAATTTCGGGTAGACCCCGCATAGGCCGTTATAGGGAGTATCCCGGGGGGGGGGGCTGAACTCCTTATGCAGTGCGTTTTAATGTTCTACACAGCATTGAAAGGTACGAGAGAGAGCGAGACAAGATTATTACGTTAGTGCCAGGTACCCGCAACAATGAGTCAGTGATTGTAGATATATAATTTGCTTTGATTTTCCTGCTCTAATTCAGAGCAACGGCATACACACACTTTTCTGTCATTTCTGCATTCCGTATTCATTGGTATTAATGTTATACAGTTGACGTCCCGGTTGAGACATATCGGGTGTTAGTCAAATATCATTTTATTATCCTGTTTTGCATATAGAATTTGCCAGAACCGTGAAAATGTTGTCCAAACACTCACAAGCGACAACGAACACAAACTTATAAATAAAGAAATGAAACTTCGAAAATTGTGACAGAAAAATCTTTTGCACTTTTTGTGTTGTTTTTTTATATAATTTTCGTGGCTATATCTTTAACGTGTACGCTTTAATTAGAAACTTTGCAGAAACAACACAATCTAGAAACGTTGTATTGTAGACTGACAAGAAATGGAATAACAAAGATAACCGGTCTAGAATCGATCGTACACTAACAATTTCAGCCGACTTAGCTTTTTGAAGGAAGAAGCGGCTGAGCTTATCGCTCCTAATTTCAGTAAATATTAACGCTACTGATTTACTGCAGTCATCTAACCTGCACCTTTAGACTTAAAAGATGTCCTGACCACCTTACACTGGCAAACTTTTTCCAAAAATCGAAGAAATTACCAAAGTGGCGTGTACTAGTACACAAAGGTGTTGACTTACCTACTGGAAGTGAAAGGCAGACAAGACATGTACAAACGCTAACCAGCCACAAGTTCATCCTTAATTTCTGACGTCTGATGTTACTGAATTTCTGAGATACTTCACACGGTTCTCTGTAACCACACTACTGACAGTGGCACTGACACGAAATAAGCGCAAGGTGAACAGATGGTCAAGCAGATGGAAGCCATTTACTTGTATCATGGCGCTCTTTTAATTAACAGCCAATGAGCAGAGGCAACAGAGGCACCCAACAGATCGTCTCGGTAAATTATCTGTTCGTAAGGCTTTTCAATCCCTCCCCCTCCCCCGCCCCCGAGTTGTCACCTCGAACTTTCATTATTTCATGCCCATTGTTTTCGCACTGACAAAAATGCATATATATGTCGTTTCGGGCGTTCCTACAACTTATGGCACTGATTGTAGGTGTACGTTCGTTGTCGGAAATACAGTCTGAAGACCTTAAGTTTTCGGGAAATGGATAAAAAGAGGTGAATAAGTTTGAGAAGACTCAAGCTGCCCTCAGTAGAATGACCGAAAAGATAATTATTTTATAACGTAGCCTAAAATTAACCTACAGAGCTTTAAAAGTACTCCAGATAACCAAGAGACCTCGATCTAGGTTACATACAGTCTCTTGCGACTGTAAAAACAGCTTTTTAAAGCATTTAATAGAAAACCGTCTTTCGGGTGCCCCTGATGCAAGGATAATTAAATTGCCATGCTATCACACGATAATTGAAGATGACATGGGAAAATTCATTTTTCGTTGCATAAAAATAGCTGTCAACTCTGCAAACCGCATTTGCATATGAAAACTGTAGAATGAACAATTCCCTGCTGAGGATTTTTAAACCTGCAGTGATGATTTTTCACGGATAAACTCAAAATTTTCATAGCCCTCCACTGAGTAATTTTTAAACTACATATCTCCTTTTTGAGTTGTTTAGAACAAATCCTAAACCAAACTGGATCTTCGAGGAAGCACCATCTTTTAACACATTTTTAAATAATGTATACAAATGATAATGGTATGTAAATTTCTACTCAAAACGAAAATTCGGCTGAAAAGACGTTATTGAAACACAGAGAAAAAGTAGTTTGGTGTTTTAGGTGCGATTCAAGAACGTTAGAAGCTTTAATTACGTATATCGAGTCACAATATTCACTGGCCTGGCCTCGGGGTGACTGGAGTCAAAATGAAGCGAAACGAACTCATTCTGGACAGAGAAGCTCACTACTCCATGTGGCGCACGGCAAAACGGAAAAAATGAACGGACGCGAGGTTGTTAACAGAGAACACATACAGACAGAAAATGGACATGAAACAGTACGAGAAATGCATGAGGAGCGCCGGCTTAAGGACTAAAACGATTCAGGCACACCAAATCTTGGAGAGTACCCGAAAACTATTTTTCGTAGAAAAAGGACTATTTTACTGCAACCATTGTAGAAGGTACTTAGAAGCCTCGAAGACCTGACTCGTTTCCAGTCCTCATACAACACACCGCACAGCTTTTATCCCTACCCGTCCCACCCCGCGCTCCCAGCTCGCCCCTTGCCGCGCGTTGTATGAAGTTGTATGACGTTGTATGAAGACGATTGGGAACGAGTCAGTGGAAGACCTCCCAGCTCTCCCAGCTCGAACCTACATGGAAGTATCAGCGAGTTTTTATTGTTCATATGGGACAACTCACTGCAGGACTGTTTTAAGAAAAGTGTCTTAATTTACAGCTGAGCTCCGCTATCTCGAGCTCTTAAGGGAAACGATAAATAGTTTCAGAAGTCGGTGGCTTGAGGTAGCTGATAGCAAGTGACTGAAAAATTATATCCAAGGGAAAATGATTTGAACTCGAGATAATAATAATAATAATAATAGCGTGGTGTTCGAGATATAACCGAGTTCGATACAACGAGGTTCCACTGGAGAAAGCTGCGAATGGACAGGACTGGAATAGAAAAGGATCCCAAGTATATTTTAATGACTGACGGTTCTACGTCCAAGAAAATCAGGGCTACTTCTCCTGGATAGAACGCTAGTCCAACGCAGATTAGCACACCCCCTCCCCCTACCCCCCTTCCATCATTCTGTCAGGTTGTCCCAACTGTTGCCCATTTCTACTCGTTGATGTAGAGAGACACTGTGAGAGAGGAGTGGCTTTCCAACAACATGACACAGTGGGTCTCGTACCCAGACTGCTCGATCTAGAGTCCCGGTGTTGACCAATACATAGTCCACCAAAGACTCAGTTACGACGAGGGGGACATTGGGGGGTGGGGGGGGGGTCTGAACACCGCAATAGCAAATACCGCAATATCACCAAAAAATCACTAAATACCGCAACACTCGATGTGATACCAATTTCACTACAGGCTGTATGTCAAGTTTACAGCATTAATTACACGGAAACAACAATTAGGAATTTGTTGATGAACGTTATGTCAGGTAATCGTTGATTTAGACAAAATAAGTAACGTCCATTGGCGTTTTGGCTAGTAATTAACAAAAACTAATTTACCCTTTTCCAATAGAAAACTGGAAAAGGTTCGGAAAACGTTCGAAGACTTAAGAATGGTTTTAAATATCGTCCAAAATGTTATAAAGCCGCATCCCGCAGGTTGGAAGAATACCACAATACCGCATTTCGAGATTAAAATTACCGAAATACCGCAAGAAAAATTGTCCAATACTGCAATGCCGCAAACCCCAATGTGCCCCTTTACGACCGAAAACACGGTTACGTAGGGGACGCCCAAAAATAAAATAAGGTTACCATGGTACGTTCAAGGAGTCTCCAAGCACTAAAGAACGTGTCCCAGGTTTCCTTTCCTCGTTTAAAACCAAGATCAAGATCAAACAGGTCACATTTCAGAGCCGCAAAGTTAAAAAATATCGCTTACAAATGTGTTGAAACTAATCAAGCACTTAAGAAATACAATGTTAAATTTTGAATGTTTTTAGTAGTCAATGCGCTTAGCTAAACCTAACTATTTCCCGGGCATGTCACTTAAACTAAAAGAAACAAATATTTCAACACTCGATTACATCTAATTTCAAGATAAGCCTATTATATTTCCACAAAATTTATTCAGGCACAGTTCTAAGCTTGTTACATCCTAAGCTTTCAGTTATTCTTTTGACCAACTCTAAACCTCAGCGTTGCGTTGTTGCAGTCTTGCCAGTTACTTTAATTTCAAGTTTCGGTTAGAGACACCAAAGATATCACAGCGCATGTCAAGAACAGGATACCGCTGATAAGAAAGAGAGGACCGGCGTTGCAGTCGTTTCCATCACAGCAGTTGACGTCACACTCAACGGCTCTTTTACACAAAGGGTTTGCCTTCTTAACACATTCAGCTTTGGGGATGCAATCTTTGTGAAAATAATCGACGTCACCGACTTTATAGTGGACCTTGGCGCATCTATCATTGCTGGGATGGCATGTTTTAGTTGTTGTTCGGCACCGTTCCCATGACACCGTTGATTTACATTGATAGCAAATCAAACCCATCACTGAAGAGACACAAGAAAAAAAATCATTACGTAATTTATCCACGCAAATTATGGTATTGAGGTGCACGGATGGCGCGGACGTGGGAGCTCTCGCCTCCAACCAATGTGACCCGGGTTTGATTCTGGCCCGGTACCTGATTTGTAGGTTGAGTTTGTTGTTGGTTCTCGCCTTGCTTCGAGGGTTTTTCTCCGGGTTTTTCGGTTTCCCTCCCATCATAAAAACCAACATCTCCAAATTCCAATTCGACCAGGATAGAGGACCCTCGTGAAAACCAGCCAAGGATGACGTGGCTTCCTCTGTAAAGATTGTAACTGATTCTTTTTTCAATGTGTCCACTGTATTGTGCGTGACCGTGTAAATACGGAACAAACCATCAAACAGAGAAAAAAATCCCGTAGCTGGATTTCAATCCCGGAGGTGTACTCCCTTATATGGGCTATATAGGTATGTGTCGCCCCAAAGGGTCGGGTTTTCAGCCGTTTTGGTAAGAAAAAGGGTATCGATTTTGGCCATTTGGTCATAAATAGGGTATGGTTTTTGCTCTCCAGTCTTGAACTGGGTATGTTTTTTAGAAGCACCGTCTGCTCAGTCGTGGAACCCGGCTTCAAAAATAAAACCGTGTACCTAAATTAGGGCCTGTTTACAAGGAGGGAGGGTTACCCTCGCAAGCGGGTTAACCCTAGCTGGAAGGCAAAAGATAGCCCGGTTTTACAAGCAAAATTTCACTGGGAGGGTAACCCTCAACCCGGGACAATTTAATGCGCGGTTACACTCAAAGGGTCTGGAAACAATTAGAAAGTTAACCTGGGTAGGCGGGTTAACCTTACCGGGAGTGTTTACCAGGGAAAAAGTTAACCCGCCTGCCAGGGTAACCCTAACACGCAGATAGGGTAACCCGTCTACCCGGGTAACCCTGGCTGCCTCGTAAACACGACGAAGAAAAAAGGAGGAAACGTGTGGATGCTAGGGTAACCCGCTTGTTAGGGTAACCCTCTCTCCTTGTAAACAGGCCCTTATACTTCGATCACCCATTGCCAGCCCCTGAGACGTGTAGATGACATAGGATAATTGATCCCCTGTTGAATGAAGGGATTGAGTCGATTTTTAAAATTGGATTCGCTATATTGGAGTTGGAAGTTGGCGCTCGCCCGCTCGCCCATATGAGTGCGACATGCGTCGGACGAGGGCCAATCAAGATTTTCTTTTTTGGGAAATTATTTGCGCTTCAATATTGATAACCCTCCTTTTTATTTTCCATTTTGGCAAGAATACCTTTCAACGAAAGTTTACCACTGCTTTTGCCAAAAATACAAATAGTTGCCAAATAGTGTTTCATAGAGACAAAATGAAATTCGGCTTCCTTTCAGTGATAATTTGCATAACGGTTCCACGCGGATCAGTGATTCTGCTGGTCTTTAGTTGAGCCGGCAGTAATTAGTGCCACATGGTGGCGAACGAGAGCAACAAGGCTGTTGCTAACTGCTTGCTAAAAAGTGAACTTTACGAAGATTCATCAATAGGCACTGTTGTGAGAATTAAAGTGCCTCCATTGTAGTTATCTTTGTGTTTAAGGTATTTAAGAATAAGTTTTCATTGCAGGAAAACAGTGTTGCCAGCTGCCCGTTTAGCTGTTTTTCATTAAAATAGGGACGGTAATATAGAAACATGTCAAAAGTTGATGGTAAAAACGAGGAAAAACAGCAAAATCGGTCCGCGATCCTTAGGACGCGTCTCGTAAATGGACCAGAACTCAATACGAAATGGCAAGCTGGGCCTCCTTGATTACGAGGTGCCGAAAAAACGCATGGTTTGTGAATCATTGTCGGTGTATTTTGAGAGTCACTCGCCCGAATGGCGAGTGCTGTCAAAATTTAGTTTCCAACACTTTATATGTGATGTTGTTATTTGTGTAATGAAAATGGCCTGTTGTCGTCATTAAAATTTTGCTTATTTAGCTAAAATGTCTGCAGCCTAGCATAAGAGCAGTTGATTTGACTGTTGTAAAATGTTCACTATTTTGAAATACATTTGAAAAAAATGGCTGCTGTGACTAGATCATGCGTTCTTGATTAGCGGGAATTCGTTTTATCCTTGCTACAGATCGTTGTTTAGGAGTAAATGTTCCATTTATTTCTTTTTTATGGCCAGCAGGATCGCAAAGTTGTAACTCAGGCTGCTGGTTTGTTTATCTACTCGATTCGTTCAGCCGAAATTGCAGTGCCGTCTTAAAGCATTTCAAATAGACCCCATCAGTGGATTGCCTTATTCACTTACCTGCTGGAAGCAAAAAGCAACGCAAACAAACATGCACAAACGACAGCTTAGAATTCATTTTGAGCTGTTTTCGTCTGATTCCGAATCACTAAGATCCTCCACTGTTTTGTATGCAAGCACTGTGCTGGATGAATGCAAGGTGGTGAACACCTTTAGCGAAATCCATGCCGAAAGCCATTTGAAATTACTGCTGTCAAGGCACTTAAATGAACAACCAATGAGAAAGGCGTCACAATCATATACATACGCAATAAAACTGAGATAGAGAGACAACTATAAATAATATCTTTGGATAAAATGAAATTAATTTGAGGGTACACAACAAATGCTGTAGAGTCTTCAAGACACTGGATTTGAATTTCACAGCTGTAGCGGAAAACAGGTTATGATCCCTAATCCCAGTAGTGTTCATTTTCGTAGCAAGTAAAATTCATTTGAAAAAGCAGTTTGTTAAAATTGGCAGAACACGAGCCCTATGAGGAATAGCTTTCTGCCTAAATTAACATAAATTAAAATAATTATATATACCATTTCGGACATACGTCATTTACCAGTTGAGCAAAATAAATTGCAATAGATTAAGATGCCATTAATAATGAGATGTATAGAGTACTTAATTCTAATATATAGATTTAGCCAAGCCTAAAAGTGGAGCTCCTGGGCCGGGTTGTTCAAAGCCGGAGCTAACCCAGGATAAACGAGAATTTTTATTTGAGTTTTATAACTGCAGTGAGTTTTTCTGTTTATATTGGCCTTCCGTTACGAATTTGAATCATCATCCCAAACTACACAAAACATAAGCAGTAAAGAACATTTTCATACAAGAAAATTTATACTTCGGTTAACTTTTAATCTGGCAGGGGCCTGTTTCTTGAAGGTCCCGAAAAGTTTTCTCACCCGAAAAGCTGTAGCAAAATCTCAAACTTCATGACTTCAGAGCTGTTTTATGCACATATTCTCAATATGAACAAAGGTCCCCTTTTTACAAGAAGTTTCAGGCGTATACACCTCTTTATCTTTAAATGCCGATTTACTTAGGCTTTGCGGTTTTGGGGGCTTTCGAGAAACAGGCCCCAGGTCGACCGGCTTCCGTGCAACTCGGTGCGCTGATTACAATAAGTTTACCTGGCCTAAGCCCACGATCCAAACGAAAAACCGGTACTTGGTCAGCGGTTAGCTTTTAAAAAGCAAGTAACCTCGATGAACTCTACGCTTAAGCCTCCAATATGGTTACGTCATACTGGTCAGCGGATACCTGGTTTTGACAAGATGCACGCTGTACACAAGCAATACCAATACCGCTAGCCATGATAACCATGAGAAAGTCAATTCATGGGTTTCCGTATGTTTTCTATATGACCCTAAATGGGTCTGGTACGTGGGTCTACATGGTATCAACAGGGGCCCTGCGTAAGTTATGACTACTAAATAAAAGTTTTAAATACCTGTTAAAGAACTTTAAAAGCTGGTAAACAGAAACTTTTCTAAATACAAATGGATCACAAATTTTAAGATTAAGAAGAAATAGTGACTAAGTCGATAAATAAGAAGAAATAATGGCTTAAATGAAGTCTAAGAAGGTTAAAACTCGATTTAGCTTCTTTTATTGATTGCGGTAGATTATTAAAAAAAAACCGCACCTGAATATCTAAACGTTAACTTATGGTTCGGTAAATGAATGTCGTCTTTGTCTTGTCATGAAAGGGTGAACGGTGCGATTTGTAACAAAATAATCCGATAAATATGAAGAAGTAATTCGTTTGGACATTTAAAAATTGAAATGAATTTGCAGGCTTTCCTATTTGTTTCCAAATCCACCCACCCTAACATTTTGAATGATTCTTTGGCTGTTGCCTTCCTTTGTATGGACAGAAAGGTATTCAACTATTATGGAGAAAAAGTGTGACGGCAATTATTACAAAATTTGACGGCTGCTATTGTTGTAAAGTGGGCCATACAGTCGGTCTTTACAAACTGTGACAACCACCGTACTGTAAAAGGCGACAAATGATATTGCAAATTTTGGCAGATGTCACAAAGTGCGACGGGCTTCCTTGCATACGGCTAGCGCCTGAAATTTGAATTGCCCAATCAGGATTCAGCAGGCGGGGTAAACTTTACTGTCCTGACGTCAATGTAAATTAACAGGAAAGGCACTGATGTCAGGCAAATTTTCTCTCTGGAGACTGGATTAAATATTCCCGAAAAGGGATTTACAATTCCAAAAACCATATCAGATTGTAAAAAGTGAAAAATACGAAAGATTTTGTGTCTCCAAGCTTCTTCTAATTTGGCGCCAAAAAATGGGTCCCCGGCGTCCAGCATGGCAACTCGCTCGTAGTTCATCGAGTGTCGCCAGGTAGAGTGTTTGTGTTATTTTGAACAAAATGTGCTCTTCCTCATCACATTAAACCCGGAATTCTCAAGTTAACTATTAGAAGAGGCCAAAGCAACTTTGGCAAAGTCTTTATTTTTGCTAGCTGCGAAGAAAAAGGCTATTATCGGGTAGCTGGCCGTGTAGTTTCGGTAGGGCAGTTCAGTTTTAACTGCCGCTCGTACTGCGGGCGCAGCTGCCGTAGAGAGATAATAATAATAATAATAATAATAATAATAATAATAATAATAATAATAATAAAATATTCATATAGCGCCAATCCACTATTTGTCCTTGGCGCTTTACATTAAATAAAAAATATTTAAAAAGCTAAAAAAGGGGAGGGGAGAAAAAAAATCAAAAGAAAATCTAAAAATTAAAAGAGTTAAAAATGATCATTTCAGAGTGTGACAGAACATACTTTCCTATATAGACCTCATGTAAAATAAATATGGTGATAGGTTCAGTTCATTAGTGAAGGCTTTAGTGACATATCTTTTTTGTCATTAAGGTATTTTTTTTGTTTGTTTGTTTTGAGAAAAAGCTGTTGTCGCCGACAAATTAAATTTTCATTCGATGCATTTTTTTTTCTTCCTTTCCATTGACCGAGAGCCCACCACGAGATCTGCAAATAATTGCCTACAAATTATAGTCTCCTCGTGCGTAACTGAAACCACGCTCTAGGGTGAAAAATGGCAGATCGCTTCCCCGAGCTGTGCGAGGGCGATTTAAATATGAAAATAACTTGGTGATCCAATGATAAAACAATTGTTGAACTTAGTTATCGCAGAACATCGTGATTTGTCAGTGTCTCGCAGATCACGATATTTTGCTCCAGGTCGCCCAATAATTGTTAAGACGGAGATAGAGTACTCGTTGTATCCGCCATTTTTCTCTCGCCGTTTCTCGACCCCAACTAACCGAACTAACTAACCGATCAGGCTATAATTTTAGATACGCGCCTGAATGTAATATTATTAACGGTTTTGGGGGAGAGAAAAGCAATTATTCAACCTCTCCGGAGTATGGAACAATTTATTTGATCAAGATTTGGCACTTTCTTTGCAACTCAATTATCATTTATGCAGAAAAAGAGAAACCAACAATATAGTAATTATAAAAGTAGTGAACGCCGAAATACAGTTATTTGTTAAGTATTTATCACCTTTACATACTGCACCTAAACATCAATAGTTTCCAAACACCTTAAATCTTACTTGTCGAAAGTCGCACCAAATAAGATGTTGAAATGCAATAGATCAAACAAGAATTATTACCAAGAGCTACTAACCAACCGCTAAGCCATTAAGTGACCGAACAACAGCTAGCTTTAAATATGTCTCTAAACGGGTTTATAACAGCTTTCTTTAAACTTTGAACTCGACTAAAGTTTTCAAGCTTTGGCAACAATCATCACATATGCCAGGGCGCATGTCAGCAACATGATACCACTGACACGGACAGTTGTACCGGCATTGCAGTCGTCGGTGGAACAGCAGTCAATTTGGCATTCGAACGATCCAACGGCATTTTTACATGTAGGGTCGGTGTCCTTACTGCATCCAGCTTTGGGAATGCAGTATTTCCTGAAAGATTGAATGCCGGCGTTCTTAAAGTACACTTTGCTGCACATGTCAAAGCCATTCGGACAAATGTGACTTGTTGTCTTGCAGTCGTCCCATGACTTGGAGGAGCTACAAACATAACACCTCAAACCCAGTGCTGAAAACGCAACGCAAAGAAAACAAATATGTAAAATAACATGAGTGATCATTATGTTATGCACACAACTAAAGCAGCTATGAAAATAATGCCTTATAAAATTCAGGCTTGCACAAGATTCGAACCCATGACCTCTGTGATACCGGTGTAGTGCTCTGCCAACTGAGCTATCAAGCCAACTGGGAGCTGGTCACTTCGTGAGTTCGTAATATACCCGTAGATAGTGAAGATACTGGTGCAGTGATCAGACCAACTGGGAGATGGTCACGTTGTGGGTTCGTATAATATATGAGGGGCTATATATGGGGGGTTACATATATATAACCCCCAGGGGGTTGTATATGGGGCCGGGGGATCGCGAGGTTGGTAAAATGAAAATTGACGTCTGTGGCCTTCTTTTGATTAAACTGAGTCTCCTGTTTCTCCGGAAACGGAAACTTTTGATCGGCTTAAAGGCACACGTTAAAAGATGTTATTAAAAGCTGGATCATTGGATAATGCAAATCAAGAGTTTTCACTGGCTTAGCCATCATGGTATATGAGCCATTATAATCCATCAAATATTTTACACACGAGTGATCATCTAAAGCAATTAAAGCAGCTATGCAGCTTTCGGAAAACTATTCGCTTCTCGGAGCAGACAATGTCTGCGAAAAAATATCCCAGCGTAGTATTGGTGCCAAATGGAGCCTGTCGTTTATTTATGTCATGCTCTACAAATATGGGAATCGTACGCGTAATGTTTTGGGGCGTATTGATTTTTCGGTCATTATCAGGCTCAAAATTGAAGATAAATATTGTGCATAAGTATAAATATAAAACAAAGAAATAAAAGTGTGTTAAGTATGAAAATGTTAAAAAAGGGTGTTAAAAACAATAAAAATCATGCAAGAATAACATAATTAAAAATGATTAAAATTAAAGACTTTCGCACGAATTGAGTCTGACTGTACATTGAGACTTGGGCTCAGCTCATTAATAAAAAAAACATTTCATAAATGAGACAGTCAAACTTGTTCTTGCACTTTTTTGAGATGGTAAAACTCTTGTTAAGATCCTTGGGCACATAACGTGGTTTTGGTGCGAGCTAGCCCAGTGTGGTCTAGGGTGAGCTCTTATGTATCAAATATGTAAGGGAAGGTATTTTTTGTTGTTGTTGGAGGAGGGCGCAGAGGTTGGGCCGGGGTATTTTAGAAATTCGTGCCCCTCATGGATTGATGCACGACCCTCCACAAACACCCACACGAAAACGTCTGACTTTCACCAGTCTATTCAACAGTCCCTTCAAGACAAAAATGACCGGAAGAGAAAATAACTAACCGGAGGTGTTACTCGTATAACCGTGTTCTGGTCGCTCCATCCGCGCACAAAGCAGCTAACTGCGTGACGTGTGATTGTACGGTGAAAACTTGAAGATGGGCGAAGATATTCCGGGGATAGAAAGAGGGAAATGTGCTTTTGGTGACTACGATAACTTCATGAGGTCAGCTGGAGCAACTTGTGGTTATTGTGGGTGTTTCCTGCCTCGCCATTCTAAAAAGAATGCCCGCTTCTCCTCTGACTATGTTTTGAGGCATCAGGAAGACGGCACATCGGGTTCAGGAACAAGTGGCAGTGGGGGTGAACGAGCTATCATAATTTGTACTTTTCCCATCATGAGATTACTCTTAAAGGGAAGAAAGCTAAGGGACCGTTCATTTTTTATCAGGTAGGGGGGGCTGGGCCATGCGAAAAAAAATGGCTTTCGAGGGGGGGGCCATCCCAAAAAAATAAGGGAAAAAGGGGGGGTCACGTGAAATATTTTAGTAAAACTTTAAA